AATATTTATTCCAAAGATAACTGGTAATCACTTATATTAAAGGCACTATGTCAATGTAAAATTGTTGATTGCAATTGTTGTAGAGTCCTGAAGTACTGCTATTTAAATAAAATGCTACTTAAATCAAAACTTAAACTGGGCAGCCAAGAGGTGGAACCAGATACATGCCTGGAATGGAGGGTGGAAAGCCTCGTTTCCCATATGCAAGGTTAGATGGAATTGTTAACTTCCTCTTCTCTCTGTAAATAAAAAGACTCCTTATCACTTTCCAAAAACAGAGGGGCAGAAAGTGATCTTCAAATCATGCCGCAGCTAGTACTGTAGATCGGGGCGTCAGAGTCAACCTTTGAAGGTACAAAACAGGAGGCTGATTTACATGCTGAGTAGGTGTTGCCCTTTGGAAACATGAAAACATTTCTGTTTGTCAGTCACCATGCACGGTCTTGCTCTGCCTGGTTGTGTCTTCTTGGCAACTCAGCCCCTATTGCCTGCTTGATTCCATGTGCTGGTGTATAAGGGGAGTACATTCTAAAGAAACTTTGAGCTGAAAAATGGATTTTGACTGCTAATGAGTATAGCCCTAAATATACATTTATTATCTGAAAAAATGGGAGGGGGATCAATTTACATGCTGATTCTAGGCCTAAACATGGATTTTAGTGTCCAAAACCAATGGTCATCTTATATACATCAAGCTAAGTAAGACCCTGTGATTCATGGTATATATAGATTACTAATGGGTCTGAGATTAATAGACTCTTCTTACAAACGCTTAGAACACTGTGGTTCAGTTTGTAAAGTCAGCTTATCATTAATCAACATGCAAGGGTCTCTCATTCAATCCCTGCTCTGCGCTGAATGCAACTCACAGCATGCAGAGGCTGAAAAGGGGGAAACTAACCATGGTTCCTTTCTCTTCTTCAAAAATGCAATCAGAAATGCAGGATGAGGATGGAGCTCAGCTGCTGTGCCAGCTGTTCCTCACTGTCTAGATTCACACACAAAGAATACACACTTGGATGAGACACTGGAGAAAAGCTAATTCCAGTGAAATTGAACTTCATCAGGGAGTCAATGTCTTCAGACTAGGAATTAAGCTTGATTCTAATCATTCATTGCAAAGGTTGAAGATAAACAGACCCTAACTGTTCAGGACGACATGAAGAAAGAGTACTCAAGTGAACAGCTGGAGCGTTGGTGGTACTAGTGGGACCATAGCCCAGCAAAAGCACTGGAGAGGTCAGCAGGGGTGAACAAAATCAACCAGACACAGAATATTACTAACATTTGGAAGTTAAAACCAATTATTACATATTGTGATATTACTACATTTTGCCTCAAACTGTAATAATAAATTAACATTATAAATCACATTGACTTACCCAACACACATATCGAGGAGACCCTGTTCCAAACCTATCAATAGAAATAAAATCAGATTTAAATTATTTTTAAACACATTTGCACTTATAGTTTCAAAATTGGAAAAGTAACATTGAAATACCTGATAATCAAAATGTGGTTCTGGATCTCAAGTGAAGATTTTGTGTATGGATTGAAGGATTACTTTAGTGAGAATCAACATTTATAGTATCAAATGAGGGCAAGCAAATTGACTTATTCTTGCATCAATCTTTGTAACAGTACGTAGGATGCATTCCTTCAGCACAGTTTCAATCCAGCAGCAGCTTGTCACATTTTACCTGGAATAACCTGCTTTTTGCCAAGTTCAACCACCAGAGGATCCCGGATTAAAGAATTATCAAACAAAGTTCCATCTTCCAGCTTCCCCTGAGAAACATAGTAGGGGAAGACAGTGCATCAGTTCTCTTGCATTTACAGCCATAACAATGCACAGAGTTAGATCCACCATTCAACATTATTACAAGTAGTAATCTCTAGCGTCCAACAATATCCCACAGTTATCTCTTGCTACCACGTTGGGTATCCTCCCAACATTTGAAATAACCCAATGCACAAAGATCTCCAACATCACTAATAACCCCGACCTAACCAACAATCAATAACCCAAATGAAACCAATTCCCAATAACTCATACTCACCATATCTAAAATATTACTAGGGTTTACTACTGATTTTGTACCAGTCAATAATAATGTAAATGATGATGATATTTAGAGTGATAATAATTATGCAGAGAAAAAAAGATAAACAGATAAGAAATGTTTGACATATACAAGTTTAGTGCACCTTTCTGGTGACCCACATACTGTCAATGATTTTCAATGCCATTTCACAGGCATGTGATTTACATCTGCAGCCTGGTGTGGTACAACTGAAGGTAATTACGTGCAGGAATTCTAGGCTCAGGTGAACATTTAAGATTAGCTTCTGCCTGTTCACAACCTCAGGATGTCCCGAAGCATTTTTATAACTAATGAAGTGCTTTTTCCTAAGTGTGGACATTATTGTAGTTTAACATACTTTGATTACTACCCTTCTTCATTCACTCTCTTCAACGCTGGTGACATCTACAAGATTCACTAGAGTAACCCAGGCTCATCTGATAGCACATTGCAAACTCATGACCACTTCCATTTAGAAGGACAAGGGCAGATACATGGGAATGCCACCACTTGGATATTTCTCTCCAAGCCATTCACCATCCTGACTTGAAAAAATATCGCAATTCCTTTAGGGTCAATGCGTCAAAATCCTGAAACTCCCTTCCTAACAGCACAGTGGGCACAATTCAAGAAGGCCGTTCACCACAACCTTCTCATGGGAACGTAGGGATAGGTAACAAATGTTAGTCCTGGCAGTGAGACCCACACAGAGTCATAGAGATGTACAGCACGGAAACAGAACCTTTGGTCCAACTTGTCCATGCCGACCAGATATCCTAAATTAATCTAGTCCCGTTTGCCAGCATTTAGCCCCTAGCACTCTAAACCCTTCCTATTCATATACCCATCCAAATGCCTTTTAAATGTTGTAATTGTACCAGCCTCCAACACTTCCTTTGGCAGCTCATTCCATACATGCACCACCCTCTGTGTGAAAAAGTTGCCCCTCAGGTCCCTTTTAAAACTTTCCCCTCTCACCTTAAACCTATGCCTCTACTTTTGGACTCCCCTACCCTGGGGAAAAGACCTTGACTATTCACCCTCTCCATGCCCCTCATGATTTTATAAACTTCTATAAGGTCATCCCACAACCTCCAATGCTCCAAGGAAAATAGCTCCAGCCTATTCAGCCTCTCCCTATAGCTCAAACCCTCCAAACCAGGCAACATCCTTGTAAATCTTTTCTGAACTCTTTCAAGTTTCACAATGTCCATCATATAGGAGGGAGACCAGAATTGGATGCAGTATTCCAAAAGTGGTCTAACCAATGCTGCAACAGGCACAACATGCCCTCCCAACTCCTATACTCAATGCACTGATCAATAAAGGCAAGCATACCAAATACCTTCTTCACTATCCTATCTACTTGCAGCTCCACTTTCAAGGAACTATGAGCCTGCACTCCAAGGCCTCTTTGTTCAGCAACACTACCCAGGACCTTCCCATTAAGTGTATAAGTCCTGCCCTGATTTGCCTTTCCGACATGTAGGAGAATAACAAGAACTCTGCAGTGGTTCAGTATTTTGAGCATGGAATCCAAAGTTCCCTCGGTCTCAAATTTGAAGCTTTGCTATTTTTACCAATGTTTGAGTACATGCATCACTCATTTTCCCATCCTCCCTGCAATGCTTTGCACTTGTCTATAATTAAATCAAACTGTCCGCATACTTACTTTTGAAGCTGCCTCCTCTGGTCTGTTGCACCATACAGTCATAGACTTATGTAGCACGGAAACAGACCCTTCTGTCTAGCTTGTCCGTGCTGACCAGATATCCTGAATTAATCCGGTCCCATTTGCCAGCATTTGGCCCATATCCCTCTAAATCCTTCCTATTCATACACCCATCCAGATGCCTTTTAAACGTTGTAATTGTACCTGCCTCCACCACATCCTCTAGCAGCTCGTTCCATAAATATACCACCCTCTGTGTAAAAGTTACCCTTACAGGTCCCTTTTAAAACTTTCCTGTCACCTTAAACCTATCCCTTCTAGTTTTGGACTCCCCTATGCTGGGAAAAAGACCTTGGCTATTCACCTTATCATCCATGCCTCTCATGATTTTATACACCTCTGTAAGGTCACCCCTCAGCCTCCGATGCTCCAGGGAAAAAGCCCCAGTCTATTTAACCTCTCCCTATAGCTCAATCCTAGCAACATCCTTGTAAATCTTTTCTGAACCCTTTCAAGTTTCACAACATCTTTCCTATAGCAGGGAGACCAGAATTGTATGCAGTATTCCAAAAGCGGCCGAAGCAATGTCCTGTACAGCCACAACAGGCCATCCCAACTTCTATACTCAATGCACTGAGCAATAAAAAGTGTGTGAAACATCTTCACTATCCTGCCTACCTGCAACTCCAAGGTCTTTCTGTTCAGCAACACTCCCCAGGGCCCTACTATTAACTATATAAGTCCTGCCCTGATTTGACAAGGGATATTCTAAACCTGCCACTCCTCAGCCTATCTGATGAAAATCCATGTAATTTGAAATAATCTTCTTCTCTGTCCACTACACGATTTTGGTGTCATCTGCAAACTTACTAACCACACCTCCTATATTCACATCCAAATTGTTTATATAAAATGAGGAAAAGCAATGGACCCAGTACCCATCTAGTGATCAAAAACAGAAGTTGCTGGAAAAGCTCAGCAGGTCTGGCAGTATTCGCGGAGAGAAATCAGTGCTAACGTTTGGGGTCGAGTGACCCTTCCTCAGAACTGGCGAGTTTTCTGAACGCGGGTCATTCGTGTAATCCCGGCTAGAAATAACGCGGGCTTGAAGACGCAGAGATCTCGTGACAGAGTTGGCTAACTAAAGGGGCAAAAAAGAAAATGCAACTCAAGACTTTCCCAAATCTAAAATCACTAAACGTGGATGGAATATTGCACTCGGTGCTGGCTACAAATGAATCCATTTAAGATGCAAAGCTAAAAGCGATACGGAGGCTACACTGACGTGTCAATTTGTTACTTGCTCTGGGTTTCTGATCACTGGATTACAAGTTTATCCTATAAATATGCCCTGAATCAAACTAAGTGACCGTTAGTTTCCAAAGGGAATGATCCTTCGCGCCAACATTTTATAAGTACAGTGCATTATTTGCTGAAGGAGGGGGTTATTTTACTGGATTAAGGAATATTATTGCTGACGTGTTATTGCAGGCGGACACCCCCCCCCCCCTGCATTGGCCTCCAGACATGCAAACATTCCCAGGTTTTATGTCAAATGCTACACAAGTATCAAAAACACTTCGGCTTACGCAAGCATTTGCGAGAAAGGAAACTTGCGGTGTTTTCTTACAGTGTAGTGGATGTGAAGAGTGTCTCCAAATTGCGATAGCTCAGGACAGCCTTCAGGTTTCAGCTATTTTTTAAAAAAAGACAAAGACATTTGGAGATCAGAAGAAATACAGGAAGGCGTTGTGTTCGTCTATCAGTTGTCAACTCTCAAATGTTAATACTGAAAGTAACCGTTTCCAGGGAAGATGGCTTTAAAAGAAATCTGCTCACCAAGACTTCCACTTTAAGTTCTTGCCCGTTTTCATCCTGGCTGGCGGTTCCGTTCAGTAAGGCAAGGATCAGAGATAGGAGCGCAGCTGTACTCATTTCTGCCCAGAGACAGACAGGGTGAGTGAACCCAGTCAACAGACACACACACACCTGGATTACAACCCAGCCTTTCCACGGCGTTGGGAGACAAATTGTAGCCCTCCACTATCCCGGCAGTCTCTTTTACCAGCGAGCACCGCCTAACTCCATTGGTGAATGTCAGGGTCTCGACTCATTTCCTACAATTCTGGGCTGCTCGCTACATGGCATTTACTTCCTCGCCCTGTCCGCCACTAGGATGAGTCCTACTTTCCAGTGGGGATCTCCACCGTTGGAGGGACGACTATAAAAAGGGGCTCCTTCCTTCCCCCATCGGGGATTTGGGGTGGATAGTGTTACATGCAGCAGTCTCATTGAATAGCGGTTTAAGTAATGTCTCACTGGGTGCCCAGCTACATGTCGTTTTAGTAGCTTGGGGGAAATGCATTTTTTTTTTGATTGAGTGTTTTCGTTTGCAGCCATTGTTTAATGTTTTAAAGCGGCTCCATTTAAAATTTTGGCGCCACTTCAGGCCCCAGCCTCCTGATCTATGGGCACCTCCTGCAGGTGGAGGGTGTGTGTGTGTGTATATTGTGTGTATGGGGGGGCGGGTTTACCGCAGGAGAAAGGAAGGGTGGTGCAGGTAGAGGGGAAAAGCAGACAGGAGAGGCTCCTCCAGCTCTTGGCCAACGTGGCCATCAACAGGTCCAGGAAGTGAGTAGGGAGGGCCCTGTAGTACCCAACTGTTTGCCCTTCTTCCATGGCTATGTCCACGTTCCATTGTCTATTGAGAAGGAGCACGTAGTGTTCACTGGGATGCCTACAGGGCGCACCATCACCTGATATCAAAATTGTGTTTAAAATATTGTTACGTTTGCGTTCTAGTTCTTTTAAGTTGACTGTTTTGTGGCCCCAACAAGGGCTGTTCAAGACGAATCAACATTGTTCTAAAATTCCCACACTTCTGGATTCCAGGACAAAGAGAAATGCTGCACTGAGGTGTTGACTTTCCGAGGAGACAAAGCATACAGGGCCTCCGTTTCAAAAATGCGGCTACATAAAGTAAAAGGTAACATTGCCATTGGTCTGGTAGGACAAAGAGAGAGACTACTGGTTGTGGTTTAACCTGAGGGTCACCACACCTCAGGTGAGGGGAGAGGTTGAGAAGGGAAGTCTGATTTGATTATTGTCACGCCATGGTGAGTCCTCAATAGAACTCGCCAATGCAGACACCACCAATGTCACCGGCAGCCCAAACTCGACTCGGCCACCGCCACGAGTCCGCTTCGGGCACAAACTGCCCTCCGCCTCCATTAAATTTGCACTGGACACTGCTGGGAACCCAAACTCGAGCAGCACTAGGAGCGCCTCGTTGATGGGGAAGCTGCCAGGAGCCCAAACACGCTCTGATGTCACTGCCACGATCCCTGCTACTGGGTTTACTCACCACCAGTAAGTAAAACAAAATAAAAAAAAAACCAAAAGTGAAAAACAAATGAAAAGAAATGTGGACAGAGCAGACTCAGAAGCCCTGCTCCACTGCCATCTTCATGGTAAAGTCAGCCAGTGCAGAGTGTGAACCTATGCTGTTGGCATCACTGCATTACAAGCCAACCAAACTATCCAGCCAAAATGCCCCAATAATCCCCCATCTCTGGACACTGACATATGACATACCAGTCAGTCTACATCATCATGGTACATTTCTGATACAGTTACAGTACACTGCTGCAATTTAATGCTGCACTTTGGAGTGCAATGCAGCTGCAAGGACACTGTACAGGGATAGGCAACAAGTTCAAATTGAACCAGTCTGCTCACTTAGCGCCTTTGACTGCACATGGCATCCTTGCCTTGCCACATCCTTGACCACAACTTAAAGGCTCACAGTACTGCTGTATTATCTGCCCTTTTAGTGCAGACACAAAGCCAGGAAGTTTGACAGAATTCATAATTAAAGGAGTGGGCATCGTGCTGTATGGCTCATTGCTACACCATTCTTGTGCCTGTACCACATGTCAGCACCTTAGGTGGCAAAGTCACTATACATGCTACAAGCAAACAACCATGTCTGAGGGGAGCAGTACTAACTCAAGTCCAGGGAAGTAGCCAGTGAGGGAGTCCCGGCATAGTAAGTCAAGGCTAATGTCTGGTATCAATCCAGGGGCTTGGGCATGGGCATGGTCAGGTGTCCAATTAGGCTTTGAGGGTCAAGGGGCTCACACCTCTACAGTTTGGAGGGTGGGTCATGGGCGGTCCTGCAGGTCTAGAGCAGTCAGTCCAGGGATTCACAAAATTATGGTTGGGGAGCTGTCAGGTATCTGGCCACTCCTCATTCATGGCTCTCCAACTAAGTCATTAAGGGGTTTGGGCCATAGGTAGTCATGGGATGCACCCCCTAAAAGATTCAGGGGGCAGGAGGGGGATTACCAGGGGGCCGATGCTGCAGATCAGACACAGGGAACCTGTGAACCCAATTTGCATGCAGAGAGCATGACAATAGTGAGTGGGGTAACTTGGTATATAAGATGGGGGTAGGGTAGGAGGGCAGGGCAGGGCAGGGCTCTTCTGGCACAGTGATAGCATCCCCTAGCAGGAGGCCTGGGTTCAAATCCCATCTACTCCAGAAGTATGTAATAACATACCTGAACTGGCTGATTAAAAACATTTGTAAGGTACAGGGAGACATGATAGAATATGGGAGGGAAAAGGGGCCACACAGGAGGTTCCATTGGTGAGGAGGCTTCTGGGAACAGTGCCCTGGCACGTCTGGAATGTTTACAGATTTTGCCAAGGGGGTGGTGTTTGTTAAGTGGGCAGATGCAAAGCCGATGGGGTTGATAAACATAGCCCCTCCCTAACAGGAAGAGGACGTTTAGGTGTTCACCTACAGGGAAAAGGTAGAGCCTGGAACTCTGTCTGAGGAGTGTCCACTATTCACGGGCTAATGGCTGAACCCTGACAATGCCTGTGACACAATAGCTCGGTCCGCGCACCAGAGCTGCACAAAGTTGCAGTTGCCTGTGATTTACCCGTTGCCTTCACTCGGTACACTGTACCCTCTGTACACCTTAGTCCAGGGCGCATTGTGGAGGTTCAGTACTTGCAATGTTGCATTTGTGGGTAGACCAAGACTCTCACAGATGGAACATATTTACAAAAGTGAGAACTTATAGTGAAGGGGCACCTGTATGCTCTAGGAAAGTCGTCTTCCTTTCCCCTCCAACATGCCTCAATGCAGGCCAGGGTTCCACAACACTGGTGGAGCCCATCAGCCTTAAAGATCTGGTCAGATGACTTCAGGGCCATTTTTGTACAGAAGACCCAGACATGCTGAGTGTGCACCCTTCTAATCTTGAACTCCCACAGGGTTAAGGATGGCAGGCTGGAGGCAAGTGGCTCAGCCATCTCTGGAAATGTCCTGTGAGGAGATTCTGGGGAGCCTGTATGTGGTCCTGCTGGGTATCTATTGGCACCACTGTCTGAGGAAGGGGTACCTAGTATGAGATTTAGGTTCCTTGTCCCTGTGCCATTCTGCTGGTGCCAATGGCTAGAGCAATGAACTGCAGGTCTGTTCACATATCCAGTTGATTCTGAGACTGTTGGAAATGGCCCTCCATGGCAACCAAACTGTCCACGGCAGCAGCCAATCACGTGCCTGGAGGCAAAGTCCCAGTTGCATTGCTGCAACCTTTGTCAGGTTGCCCAGTGCCCCCAACAAACCTACCTGTCGCTCTGATGTTTGGCTATGCATTTGATTGAAGTCCCTGATTGCCCTGACCACAGGTGCTAGCCTGGCCAAGCAGATGGCTGGTCTCCAGCAGTCCTCAGTGCCAGCAACCTGGGGCTTTTCTTCCTCTGCCAGTGCAGAGATGTGGCAGTGAAGTGCTCATCAGCACGTGCTTTCAACTCAATCTAGGTAAAACAAAAACAGAAATAGCTGGAGAAACTCAGCAGGGTGGGCAGCATCCATGGAGAAAAAGCAGAGTTAACAATGAGTCTGTATTCTTGCAAATGATCCTGATGAGTGGAAGACAAAACACTTCAACAAAATGTACCCTTGTTCAGCAATACACAAGTTCTGTGATACCAAATGACTATTTGGATTAGAAGTAGTCTAATTAGATTAATCAAAATTGAGAGGGATAATAAGACTAGATGTCAGCACTATAAAATCTGAAGGCAAATGTCAGGTTAGATGCTCGGGATTATTTCCTTAGAGTGGTTACCCCCTATTGGGTAATAAATTATTACAATGCTTTAGAAGGGAACTTTTGAATAAAACAAGCTGTATTGTTTAAGCATCTTAGTAAAATGTCCTATGTTAAAAGTTGCTCTATAAATAGAAATTGTTGTTGATTTGTT